GCCTATCCACTCTACTGACTGTTTCTTTTGCCGTGCAGAAGCTGTGGAGTTTCATTAGGTCCCATTTGTCTATTTTGGCTTTTGTTGCCAATGCTTTTGGTGTTTTGTTCATGAAGTCCTTGCCTACTCCTATGTCCTGGATAGTTTTGCCTAGATTTTCTTCTAGGGTTTTTATGGTGCCAGGTCTTATGTTTAAGTCTTTAATCCATCTGGAGTTAATTTTAGTGTAAGGTGTCAGGAAGGGGTCCAGTTTCTGCTTTCTGCACATGGCTAGCCAGTTTTCCCAACACCATTTGTTAAACATGGAATCCTTTCCCCATTGCTTGTTTTTGTCAGGTTTATCAAAGATTGTATAGTTGTATGTATGTTGTGTTGCCTCCGATGCCTCTGTTTTGTTCCATTGGTCTATATCTCTGTTTTGGTACCAGTACCATGCTGTTTTGATTACTGTAGCCTTGTAGTATAGTTTGAAATCCGGTAGTGTGATGCCCCCCGCTGTGTTCTTTTTGCTTAGAATTGACTTGGCTATGCGGGCTCTCTTTTGGTTCCATATGAAGTTCAAGGTGGTTTTTTCCAGTTCTGTGAAGAAAGTCAATGGTAGCTTGATGGGGATAGCGTTGATTCTGTAAATTACTTTGGGCAGTATAGCAATTTTCACGATATTAATTCTTCCTAACCATGAACATGGAATGTTTCTCCATCTGTTTGTGTCCTCTCTTATTTCATTGAGCAGTGGTTTGTAGTTCTTCTTGAAGAGGTCCCTTACGTTCCTTGTGAGTTGTATTCCAAGGTATTTTATTCTTTTTGTAGCAATTGTGAATGGCAGTTCGCTCTTGATTTGGCTTTCTTTAAGTCTGTTATTGGTGTAGACGAATGCTTGTGATTTTTGCACATTGATTTTATATCCTGAGACTTTGCTGAAGTTGCTTATCAGTTTCAGGAGTTTTTGGGCTGAGGCGATGGGGTCTTCTAGGTATACTATCATGTCGTCTGCAAATAGAGACAATTTGGCTTCCACCTTTCCTATTTGAATACCCTTTATTTCTTTTTCTTGCCTGATTGCTGTGGCTAGAACTTCCAGTACTATATTGAATAGGAGTGGTGAAAGAGGGCATCCTTGTCTAGTGCCAGATTTCAAAGGGAATGCTTCCAGTTTTTGCTCATTCAGTATGATATTGGCTGTTGGTTTGTCATAAATAGCTTTTATTACTTTGAGATACGTTCCATCGATACTGAGTTTATTGAGGGTTTTTAGCATAAAGAGCTGTTGAATTTTGTCAAATGCCTTCTCTGCGTCAATTGAGATAATCATGTGGTTTTTGTTTTTGGTTCTGTTTATGTGGTGAATTACGTTGATAGACTTGCGTATGTTGAACCAGCCTTGCATCCCCGGGATGAATCCTACTTGATCATGATGAATAAGTTTTTTGATTTGCTGTTGCAATCGGCTTACCAATATTTTATTGAAGATTTTTGCATCTATGTTCATCATGGATATTGGTCTGAAGTTTTCTTTTCTTGTTGGGTCTCTGCCGGGTTTTGGTATCAGAATGATGTTGGTCTCATAAAATGATTTGGGAAGGATTCCCTCTTTTTGGATTGTTTGAAATAGTTTTAGAAGAAACGGTACCAGCTCTTCCTTGTGTGTCTGGTAGAATTCAGCTGTGAACCCGTCTGGTCTGGGCTTTTTTTGTGTGGTAGGCTCTTAATTGCTGCCTCGACTTCAGACCTTGTTATTGGTCTATTCATAGTTTCAGCTTCCTCCTGGTTTAGGCTTGGGAGGACACAGGAATCCAGGAATTTATCCATTTCTTCCAGGTTTACTAGTTTATGCGCATAGAGTTGTTTCTAATATTCTCTGATGATGGTTTGAATTTCTGTGGAATATGTGGTGATTTCCCCTTTATCATTTTTTATTGCATCTATTTGGTTGTTCTCTCTTTTATTTTTAATCAATCTGGCTAGTGGTCTGTCTATTTTGTTGATCTTTTCAAAAAACCGGCTCTTGGATTTATTGATTTTTTGAAGGGTTTTTTGTGTCTCAATCTCCTTCAGCTCAGTTCTGATCTTAGTTATTTCTTGTCTTCTGCTGGGTTTTGAGTTTTTTTGATCTTGCTCCTCTAGCTCTTTCAATTTTGACGATAGGGTGTCAATTTTGGATCTCTCCACTCTCCTCATATGGGCACTTATTGCTATATATTTTCCTCTAGAGACTGCTTTAAATGTGTCACAGAGGTTCTGGCACGTTGTGTCTTCGTTCTCATTGGTTTCGAAGAACTTCTTTATTTCTGCCTTCATTTCGTTGTTTACCCAGTCAACATTCAAGAGCCAGTTGTTCAGTTTCCATGAAGCTGTGCGGTTCTGGGTCGGTTTCTGAATTCTGAGTTCTAACTTGATTGCACTATGGTCTGAGAGGCTGTTTGTTATGATTTCAGTTGTTTTGCATTTGTTGAGCAGTGCTTTACTTCCAATTATGTGGTCAATTTTAGAGTAGGTGTGATGTGGTGCTGAGAAGAATGTGTATTCTGTGGATTTGGGGTGGAAAGTTCTGTAAATGTCTATCAGGTTTGCTTGCTCCAGGTCTGAGTTCAAGCCCTGGAAATCCTTGTTGATTTTTTGTCTGGTAGATCTGTCTAGTATTGACAGTGGAGTGTTAAAGTCTCCCACTATTATTGTGTGGGAGTCTAAGTCCTTTTGTAAGTCATTAAGAACTTGCCTTATGTATCTGGGTGCTCCTGCATTGGGTCCATATATGTTTAGGATCGTTAGCTCTTCTTGTTGCATCAATCCTTTTACCATTATGTAATGGCCTTCTTTGTCTCTTTTGATCTTTGTTGCTTTAAAGTCTATTTTATCGGAAATGAGAATTGCAACTCCTGCTTTTTTTTTGCTTTCCATTTGCTTGGTAAATCTTCCTCCATCCCTTTATTTTGAACCTTTGTGTATCCTTGCATGTGAGATGGGTTTCCTGGATACAGCACACTGATGGGTTTTGGCTTTTTATCCAATTTGCCAGTCTGTGTCTTTCGATTGGTGCATTTAGTCCATTTACATTTAGGGTTAATATTCTTATGTGTGAATTTGATACTGCCATTTTGATGCTACGTGGCTGTTTTGCCTGTTAGTTGTTGTAGATTCTTCATTATGTTGATGCTCTTTAGCATTCAGTGTGATTTTGGAATGGCTGGTACTGGTTGATCCTTTCTATGTGTAGTGCCTCTTTTAGGAGCCCTTGTAAAGCAGGCCTGGTGGTGACAAAATCTCTGAGTATTTCTAGTTTGCAAAGGATTTTATTTTTCCTTCACTTCTGAAGCTCAGTTTGGCTCGATATGAAATTCTGGGTTGCAAGTTCTTTTCTTTAAGAATGTTGAATATTGGCCCCCACTCTCTTCTGGCTTATAGTGTTTCTGCCGAGAGATCTGCTGTGAGTCTGATGGGCTTTCCCTTTGTGGGTGACCCGACCTTTCTCTCTGGCTGCCTTTAGCTGTGGCACAGTGAGGGATGCTACCAGTTTCTTTTTCTGCTATCTTTGTCCCAGGATGGTGTCTGCCTAATGTCAGTCTTTTGGATATAGAGGGGTCAGGGAGCTGCTTGAGGAGACAGTTTGTACTTTATAGGGGCTTAATTGCTGAGCTGTGAGCTCTGTTGTTCATTCAGGGCTGTTAGGCTGCTATGTTTGATTCTGCTGCAACAGAGCTCATTAAAAAAACCCTTTTTTTTCTCAAATGCTCTGTGTTGAGGGGTTTGGGCTTTATTTTTGGATGTCCGTTGAGGTCCTGCCCAGCTAGGATGCAGACTAGCCACTGTTTGCCTGCCGAGGCTCTGCCCTGCTGTTGTGAGGCTCGCCCTGGCTCCGCTGTTCTGCTGTTCTCTGCCACGCCCTGCGGCGGAGTCTCTCTGTTGTAGCGGGTTGCCTCGGCAACGACAGGCTGCATCAGCAGTGGGCGTGTATCTCAGTAGGGACGGGTTGCCTCGGCAACGGCTGGCTGCATCAGCAATGGGCGTGTATCTCAGTTGGGGCGGGTTGCCTCGGTAATGGTGGCCGCCCCTCCCCCTCAGAGCGTCTCGGGCTGTCTGCACGGGGCTTGTTTGAAATCGCGGTTTTGTTCGTCCCACTGGGCCAACCCTAACGCTCTGTTCCTGCAGTCCCCTGGGCTGGCCCACTGTCCAAGTCTAGCTCAGTCTCAAGTCCAGCCCTCTCACGTCTCCGGTTGCTGGTTCAACGGGGCACCCGGACAAGCGCGCCCTGTGGGGAGCGCTGGGTAGGGCCGGCCACCACCACCCGGGCTGCTGGCTTCGCCAGGTGGAATATCTGCCTGGCGTCCTGCGTCTCCTCTTCACGTGGGAATTTCCCCGTTCCATGGGCAACAAAGATCAGTCTGGAAATGCAGCTCAGACTCACCTCTCCGCAGACACAACGAGAACTCCAATCCTGGGTTGTTCTCACAGCGCCATCTTGACTCTTGTCAAATACTCTTAAAGAACCATAACCTCTGGTATAGTTGAATGACTATGTGACATAAGTTGCCAAAATGTTAGTCACATAAAAACGGCATTTAAGGAAATAATTTAAACAGATCAATTGTTCTCAAGGATATAATGATAAATTCATATACAAATGGATTGAATACTCAATTTCTAGAAGTATAAATTCAAATTCTTTAAAATATTTTATGTATGTATGTTTATTACTATCTTGATCATTATCCAACTTTTTATTAATTCCCCCAAAGGGAATGATATCAATTATATCCTACTTGCATGAGTAAAATTTCAAATTTGAATATTGTAACTATTATAATTATAAGATTTGTATGATTAATAACAAGGGTAAGATGATTTCTCAGAAAAAAATTTGAAACATAAACAAAGCTTAAACGTGGAGGTGGATAAATCAGAAGAGTTTATATAATGTAAATTGTTTCCTGAATTAATCACAGTGGACACTGTGCTTTGTTATTAAAGGTTATTTTATTTGAATGTCTCTATTTTTTATACAGGGAAGATGTGAGAACAGCAAACGTAATTGCTGCAGAAGCTGTAACCTGCCTTGTGATTGACAGAGAGTAAGTACATTGTTTTATTATGTGAATTATACACTCATATCAGCAACACACATGAGTTCCTGGAATTAGACGCCATTTTATGCAGCTATTAATACTTGCTTTATATTTTTTCATTTTTAAATGAGTTCTATGTTTGATTCTTATTCCCTATTATTCTTAAAGGTGGCTGGCTCTGCCATTCTAGCTTTATGATCTTTACCAAGGTACTTAACCACTGTGTACTTCGCCTCAGCTCATTTGTATACTGGGTTAATAAAATATCACAGGGTATTTTGAGGATTAATGAGAAGATGTGAGTAAAGCATTTGTCCAAGTGTCTTTTACTCAGGAGGTACTCAACCAATGCTAGTCATTTTTGTGAATTTTTAGAATTATTATTCTGTTCTTGTTAAGAAGTAGATTCTTCTTTGAGTATGTTTTAGTTATCCCCTCTATTATCCCATCTCCAGACTTCCATAATGGAAGTCTTTAGGGAAGACACTTTTGGAGAAATAATCAGTTCTAGACATAGGCATATATTTAAGGCCATTAAAACATTTTCTGATAATGTCTATCCCTGTTTCTTCTCCCAATTCTGACTTGCTCTTTTCATTACCTAGATGCTTTAAGGGTTAAACTACAAATGTCAGACTATTGATACTCCAAGAACATGGTTAAAATGCATACATACTTTCTGGAAGCAGTCAAACAGACTTTTCTTTGTTGTAGTGTATGTGGATAAATTTATCAGAATAGCCAAGCACCTGACGCAAGAACTATAGAATATCCATTTCAGTGGAGCTATTATAACTGGAATAGGCAGTGAGTGTCCATGTAGAGTAAACCTGAGGAGTCAGATATGATCAGCCTAGAATGACGGAGCTTGATGCCAAACTCAGAGGACTCTGGATGGAGAAGAATTCTACTTGATTCACAAATCTCACTTTTAGAGGTCCTTCTATGCTGGATCACTAGAACCAGAGCAAAGATACAGTTGCAGAATGATAGTAATATACATGAATAATTCTGAAATTGTTATATTTTGTCTGGCTTCCCAAAACAATAATTACTGATTCACTGTTCTGTTCAACTCACATTTACTGAGGATCAACCATGTACAAAGCATTGTACTGGAAGAGAAGAGTCAAAGGAGCAGCACAGATGCTGGTTTTAGAAGTTAGCATCTAATAGGGATGTCTCATATATAAAAATAACCATCCTACCAGGCAAAAAAAGACTTCAGAATAAATAAGGGAATTCAGAAAACAGAGTGAGTACTTTTGAGAAGAGTCAGGGAGATCTTCATGGAAGAAAAGGTATTATTAGGTGGATACAGAAGCACAGGAAAAGCAATATAAATATGATGACTAGCAAAGAAATACCCATAGGAAAGCTATCAGCCATTTCAACTAGCTAAAGTGAGACTTTGTAAAGGTAATTGGCAGAGGTGTTGCAAAAAGTTCACAAGCGTGCTGGCACTAGTTCACTAAGAAAATTGAATGTGGGATAAGGGCAGCTCTGAACATTTTATGCAGCAAAAAGATATCACCATAACAATGGATTTAATAGACTAATCTGAGAATTCTGTGTAAAAGGAATTAGAGGGAGAGGTTAGAGACAAAATATTTGGTTAGGAGTCTAAATTCAGTTGGTGATTATGAGACCATTCATAAGAGGAACCCATAAGAGACGAATAGGTAAAATCAAAGGGTTTTAAGTCTTACTGAATGTGAAGAGCAAGGGAGAAATTAGGAATGTCATTGGGATAGAAAAGACATGAAAGGAAAATAGAAAAATCAGTTTGATAGATATAATGACATTCCACTAAGAATATAATGCATTGAACATACAATATCGAACATTCAAGTATGGATGTCCTGCAGGAGACAGGAAATGTGGGGCAGAAACTTTTCTTAGAATTAACTTAAAATTAACTTTAGAATTTCCTTCATGTGGTTAGCAGCTGAAGCGATGAGACAGGACAGAATTGTGTGAAAGAATAGAGAAGAAGATTACAAAGCCAAGGTTAGATTTGGGGAAATCCTTTCATTTAAGCGTTAGTCAGGGAAAGTAAAACCAGTGAAGAATAATGAGATGTTAGAAATCAGAGCAGTATAAGAGACCCCAGAATGCAAGAGGATATTTCATGAGAAAAGAGATGATCACAGTCTTAAAAGCTGAGAGGCATGCAGATAGAAAAAAGGGTGATAGATTTAGTCACCTGGGAGAAAACAGTTTTATTAAAGTGGTAAGGGTGGAATCCAGATTACAAAGTGTGAGTGGGTGAAAAGGAAGTGAGAGCACTGAGCCTACAGTATACAAGTATCCAGAAAGATGTAGCAAATGAAATACTAAAGGGAATATTTGATAATAAATGGGGCCTCAGGGGAGGAAATTATGGGCAAACGAGGAAAGGTTCTTGGAGAGCATATATATGTGTATTTTTGATTTTCTGAAAAGAGTCAACATAGAAAATTTGTAGAGAAATGCTGGGATGTAGATAAGGATAGTTGTGGGAACTTGGATGGACTTAAACTTACCATTTCTCTCCTTATCCAAACCTAGGCATATACAGTATGCATTGACAAGTGAATGGATTTGGTCAAACAAAGCTCAATACTTGAATTTTGACTGCACCATTTTACAAGAATATGGATGAATTAGTTAAATTCTGGGTCTCAGTTTTTCTGTCTGCAAAATTGGATAACATTATTGAAATTATAAAATTGATTTGAAAATAAAACAGTATAGCATATGTAAACATCCATGCTCAGCACAAGACATGAAATAAGCACTAAGTAAATATGCCCTTCCTTCACACTATTACAAAGCGTGAGTGAGTGGGTACAAAGGTGTAGGATTCCCTTGGATTTAGTAGTGTTACTTTCTACTCAGTGTTGGTTTATTTTCTGGGTTATATACAGAGAAGACACCTTGAGAGGAGTCTGCCTTATGCACAAATACAGAGAAATCAGCTTGGGTCTAAGAATTCAAAGAGTACATTTTTATACTCTTAGCAGAGAAGTTGGGCTTCCCACCAAATGTTCAATTCATAGCTTTAGTTTTTTTTTTAATGAAATTGTAACTGAAGGATCCTGTCAAAAGCCTGCTGCTAACACCTAATTTATGGCCAGTTAGAAGAGCACCAGGGCTTCATCCCATGCAAACAGATGGCAGACATTAGAACTGTCAACAAAAGGAGCTTCCTTTACAAATTTACAAGCAAAGTACCATGTTCCATAGCCCAGTGATTATGCTTTATCATTCCAGAGGGAGAGCAAAAGAACATTATTGTAACTAATCATGCATGTCAAATTTTTTAAAATGCTTATTGACAAATCAGAAGATGACAAACAGATACATGGTGTCCTTAAAAGGCATTCTCTGAATATTGGTTTCTTGTAGTCTACTCATTATCTTAACAAGTATCTGCAGTAATGTCAAAATTTGTTAATATTATATAAAAGAATATTAGTCTAACAGAACCACCCTTAATACATTTCCTAAATATATAAAAAACAATTAAGTACCTTTGGTACCTCTTATTTTGGAATCTGTGAAAAGAAATAAATATAAAACTAAGTATCCATGGGGGATTGGTTCAAGGACCCCCATTGGATAACAAAATCCACAGATGCTGAAATTCCTCATATAAAATGGCATAGTTACTTGCATATAACCTATGCATATCTCTCCTATATTTTAAAATATATCTCGGTTACTTATAATACCTAGTACAATGTAAATGCTATGTAAAAACTTGTTACACTATATTGTTTAGAAAATTACAAGAAAAAAATTCTGTGCGTGTTCAGTAAAGAAGTAACCACTGTCTTTTTTTGCTAAATATTTTTGATCTATAGTTGGTTGAATCCACAGATACAGAATGCATGAATGTGAAGGCTGACTGTACACTTTTGTATTCTCTAATAAGTTATGCAGTGTCTACTTATTCATTGTTATGGGAAGCTGTTTAAGCTAGAAGTTCTATTAAGATAATTGATTTTTTTTGGCAAACTGAGGATTATTTTGATAATTGTTCAAAGGCAACAACTTATAATTACTAGTAAATCTTAAAGAGTTATGTGTTTTTCCCCAGGAAATTGAGATCTAAATTATTAGAGTCCTAACTCTATCCCTGATTCACTGTGTAGCCACTGAGATACATCCATATTGATTATGAAAATTGAAATATTTTCATGCTGGATGATAAATAGCACTGGTCTGAGATCCCTGCATGTCTCTCCTACTTCTCTGCTGCCCAGGTTGTCTGATTGCCCCCTACTCCTAGGACATTCTTCTTTAGTCCAGCAAGTAAGAAGGTGACATCTGACAAGCACCAGGACCAGTGTCCATTTATTTTGGTCAGTTCCTGTCCCTACTGGCCACTAATTATTTTCCCTATCACCTCTGATAATGTCAAGCTAAAATATAATGTCTTATTACCAGTGGTTTTCATGTTTTTGCTTTACCAGGCCCATTTTTAAATAAAATCAGTTAGAAAGAAAACAGAGGAATTTTTTTGGCTGTCATGGAGGTAAGACTCCTAAAGGATCCAGAGGTCTTCATTCTTTCCCTCAATATCACTCCGGGTTATTCTTGAGGGCCTAGAAGACCCTAAGAATGATTTATATACCAGATATGGCTGATCAGGCCCCTGCCATCAGTGGCGCTCTGTGATATTTTTTATACCGTGGGGCCATCTTTGTTATTGGGAAGTGGAGACCAAGAACAAACCCGGAGTAAATTCAATGTCATAGAGCACAAAAATGATGAAATTAGGAGGGAATATCAAGCATAAGATTGTAGGGCATTGCAAGTAGTAATCTCTGAAACTGAGATATCTCTAGATATCATGTTTCAAATTTTAGAGCTCCCAGAATTATATTCACCTGGTGTATTCATGCCATATATTTAAAAATGTGGCCGGGCGCGGTGGCTCAAGCCTGTAATCCCAGCACGTTGGGAGGCTGAGGCGGGTGGATCACGAGGTCAACAGATCGAGACCATCTTGGTCAACA